ATTATAAAGTATTTTGTTTGTTTGCTGTCTTGCTTTGTTCCAGTAAATATTTTTGGATTAAATATACCTCCATCACTCTCTTCCTGATCTCCATCACCACCTTGTTGTCATAAAGACTCTTCAGCAGCCGGAAAGTGTTGCCTCCACCTACAAACAAAAGCCTCTTTTAGCATCTCCATACTGCAGATTGGGTAAAGTAAAGGTTAGATGGTAATGTAGAATAAGAGAAAGAGAAAAAGTGTGAAATCCCTGAAGAAATTCCAAGAGCTGTTGCTTTCCTCAGATGTTCCTCACCTATAAAAATGCCCTCGGCCTTCCGGACAGCATCTACAGGGTCTGAGGCCTCGTGGATGCTGTCCACCTCATAACCTGCAGAAGACAAATGCTCTTATGACATGTAGGATTTGACTGAATTACATCTAGCAAAGCATGTCCTGTAAACTATCGTATGCACTGAAATCGAAAACAAAAACAAATACTGAAAGAATGCAGAAAAAAATGGAGAAAACACCAAAATGCACATAAATAATAATGGATTGCATTTATATAGCGCTTTTCGGGACCCTCAAAGCACTTTACAATACCACTATTCATTCACTCTCACATTCACACACTGGTGGAGGCAGCTACAGGTGTAGCCACAGCTGCCCTGGGGCAGACTGACAGAAGCGAGGCTGCCATATCGCTCCATCGGCCCCTCTGGCCATCACCAGTAGGCGGTAGGTGAAGTGTCTTGCCCAAGGACACAACGACCAATACTGTCCGAGCCGGGGCTCAAACCGGCAACCTTCCAATTACAAGACGAACACCCAACTCTTGAGCCACGATCGCCCCTGGACTGTGGCTCAAGATAGACCAAATACACTGACTTACATCAACACGATGCACAGAAAACACAAGGAAATACACAGAATACACTAGAATATATAGGAGAAACTGCACAGAAAATACAGGGGAAAATTCATTTCAAAATACCATAAAGCATAACACCTTAAACGTGTGAATCACCCATAAATTATTACTATACTACGGAGGAGCGGTCTGTGTGTCTCGGTGATTCCATCGGCTATGATGTCCTATGGACTTGCCCCAGGTAGGGTCTCTTGTTGGACAGGGTTACCGGGACCACACCCTGCAGCATGACCTGGAAGGGAGGTAGAGCATCTGATTGCTGGGCCTTAGCACATGTGGTCCAGACAGGCACAGCTCAAAAAGGCAAATTGAGCCCATCTACTTGTTTGCTCAAAGAGACAGAGGCCTTCTACTTTGGTGCTCTCTGCTTTCCGCAGTTGATGTGATCCTGTTGGCTTCATTGGTGGGTCCAAGTTGTCTGAAGCCAGGGTTCTGAGAAGGAAAAGGATTGAGTTCCCACTCCGAGTTAGAGACTTGCTATCCCAAGTGGATGAGTTCAAGTATGACTGTGACTTGTTCCCAAGATAGGGAAGTGGAAGATTGACAGACAGGGCTGTATCTCCAGTGATGAGGACTTTGTACTGGTAGATTGCTCTGAGCCATCAGTTTACCAACCGATTCACATCCACACCCTCACCTGTGGTCACAAGCTCTGAGCAGTGACCAAAAGAATGAGACTGGAGCTACAAGCAGTGGAAATGAGTTTCCTTTGAAAGGCTGGGCTTTCGCTAAGTGATAGTGTGGCGAGTTCAGTCATTCAGGTAGAATTTAGAATGACTGAACCACTACTCCTCCACACCAAAAGGAGCCAGTTACATCCTAATCAGTTGGGCATCTGATTAGGATGTCTCCTGAATGTCTCCTGGGCAAGTGTTCCAGGCATGTCCTAGACCCAGATACATTGGATTAATTACATCTCTTGCCTGGCCTGGGAATGCCATGGTGTTCCCCGACATCAGCTACAAGCAGTTGCTGGACTTCTGTGCTTTTGCTGCTACTGTCAATGACCCGGCCTCAGATAAGTGGCAAAAAATGTATAGATGGATATACAGAAAAATTCCTAGAAACACTGAAAACTGTGCTTTCCAAAACAAAATATAGAATATATACACACCCTCAAATATTAAAGTAAGAGAAAAATATAGAACACAACTCTTAAATAAATGTATGTTTTATTAAACATGAACACAAAGGCATATAATTACTTAAGGCTTTATAAATATGAAACTAACAAGCAGGTGTACAGTATGAGACTCAAAAATAATCTGTTACATGAACCTACCAAGAGTCTTAAACTTGTCTCTGGCTAACTTAGTGTAGGCGTCTCTATCATGGAGAGCATAAGGAACAAACAGCACCCTCTTCACGTCTCTGAAATACATACAAACAGATTCATGATAAACACCAGACAGGTCGTCAGGAGTCCTACCTCAAGGCCAGTCGTGAATGTCTGCACACTAAACTTAAAAAGATTTCATTCTAAGGATTTTCACTGCCCTCTGTCCATAACTTTACAGTATTACATTGGTGCTGAGTAACAGAGCTAAGAATATTTATTAGGTACTCTATATAATTACATTTTATTAGTTTCATGGGTTTTCAAACACAAGTTGTGTTTACCATTAAATACAACCTTATGAACAGATTAAAAGTGCAGCATAATTTGAATTTCATACATATGAGTGGGCAGGCTTATATATGAACCAGAAAACTGTGCCCATTCTTTGCTGTTCAGGTTTTCTACAACATATTTATTTCTGATCAGCTATTCTGATTTCCTTTTCCTTCCAACCCCCTCATCCCAACCCCCCACCCCACTCTGCCACCACCCTGAAAAATTCTGCAAACGCCCCTGCTCGTAGAGGGATTTACAAAGAATCAAATACAAATGAAATTATAATCCACGTTTGCTCAGTAAACTGACAAAATAAAAAAATAAAAACTTTCATCTTTCTTTTACGTCTTTGCATGTCACTTGACTTTGGCCCCACTTCCTGTTTCCTGTCCCCTTTGTCAACTTTCTGGCCCACATATATGAACCGCGGCGCTAACTTACTTTCCAAAGAAGCTGGAGATGTGCTGCTGACAGTGCTCCAGGTAACCACTGCCGTGCAAAGTGGAGTTGGACACCAGCAGGAGTCTCCTCTTCATCTTGGCTCGAATAGAGAAACAGAAGAAAACCCACAGAAGTTTCAGTGCGGCGGAGTCCAGAGGTCCGGGGTCACAGTTCAGCTGTGATTAGGCTGATAGCGGCTCCCTGACAGCCCGTAAACCGGCTCTCATCAACTCTGATCCCGCCACGGAAGTTCACCTTGGAGCCGTTTAAAGCTCACAGCAGCATTCACGGTGCAGCACACCGTGTTACTGTCAGAGCCGCTCTGTCCTTTCTACTTTAAACTTACACTGGATCCAGCTAATACTTTTTATAAGGAGTAGTTGTATTTGATCAATTTTACCACTAGCGGAAACAACACTAGCGCTTCTAACGAAGTACTTTCATAATAAAAGTACCTCTATTTCGTTTCTCCTCAATTCTGCCAAAATAAAAGCGTCCTTTTCCCTGCAAGTCTATCGTCTAGTTCTAACAAAACAAAAGTCCTTCTTCATTGGCTGCTCACAGTCCAGTAAAATCCTTTCAGGGTAGAATTCTCTTTTTCTCCTTTCTCTTGAGTTATGTCAAATTAAAGCCTTGTATTTCCTTTCTGGATTTCCCCAAGTTCATCAGAATATAAGTATTCTGTACTTTTTGTACTACTACTACTTCTTTGTTGGTCTTCCATGGGTCCATTTAGAATAACAGGTGTTCCCTTGGCCTTGCTTTTTCCCTCTCCATCTTGTTTCCTGAAAACATGTGTACAAAGTGATTTCTAGATATAAATACAGAAAAAAGGTCATTTGTACTTTCATACAAAATTTATTATCTCAAGCTCAGAAGTTTTCTTCGTTCAGTGACCCAGCCAACAGGAACATAGTAAGAAAAAAAATCTTGTGAAAGTAAGTGATACAAAGTTGTGTCAGCATTTATATGTATTTGCTCACTGAGCCCTCACATCACTGTGGTTTGAGCATAACCTGACTAATGAGCTGGAATAAACCTGTTAGTGCTCACAGTCTCACCCACCGTTTCTTCTTCAGATTGGTTTAATAGAAATGCAAAGTTCTGTGAAGAAACTTTTAAAACTCTAAACTGAGATAATAAAAAAATGAAAAAAATGGACAAGGATGAACAATGGTAAAAAGTAAATAAATAAAATGTATTATAATACACAGAACTTACCTAGAATATATTTTCTGAGACTAAGAAAAAAATCATGCAACATAATAAATGCATTACAATGAAAGTTTGATTTTGCTCTATTAAAAAAAGACTAGAAAAATAGTTTCATAAACATTCTTGGTGCTGTTTGGCCAAGAATTTGAATTAAGTAAGTAATCTCACTGCATTTAACAGGCTGTCAAAACAGGACTGATACGTTTGGATTTTTCCTGCTTTTAAATATGTAAAGTGTAAAATTATATCATGAACAATATCAAATCATTTTCTTTGATGCCCATTTATTTTCCTTCTGTAACAATAAGGTAAATGCGAAATATTAAATTAAATTATAATTAATTATAATGAATGCAGTAATAACAAAACAGTAATAATAATAACATAAAAGAGCAATAAAAACAACATTTCCTGTTTTCAAAATTAAACTGTTGAAAATAATTACCCAAAAATTTACCATTGTTTAAATGCTCATGGACCTAACTGCAAATGAGTACAAATAATAAACACACGATGACACTATGGGTTTTTTTGTAATTTTTTAAAGAAATTACAAGGAAAGAAATTCTTAATGAAAAAGTGATGTAGTCATAAAAAGGGCATCTTCTTTAATTGTTTATTTTTAAAATACGTTTTCAAAAAGTTTTTACGATGATTTTTGTTTGCGGATTTTTTTGAAAGCAGGACTTTGCTGTAATGGAGTACTTTTACACTGAGTGAATACTGTTTCCACCGCTGTGTGTCACATGTGGAGAAATGAGACACAGAAACAGAGGCAGTAGAAGGGGGCGGGGCCAGCCCACATCTGGATGAAAAACATCTGGGCTCCCTCTCTCTTTCTCTGCGTACATGAGAGGCTCTCCGCTGACACCGGGGGCTGAAGACCGAAGCACCAACACACCGACTGACCGGGGTCCCCTGAGTTTCATCGACTTACTTTGCCGGAAGATGATGGCTCAGTGCTGGACGATTTGGACCGGGATCCTCGTCCTCCTGACTGCCTGTGAGTGCTGCCTGATTTTTGGGCTGTTTCTCTCTTTTCCTCGGAGCTGGAGGGCCGAGCGGAGGGCATGACAGAGAGGAGGGACGTTTTGTTTTGGAAAAGCTACTCAGATCCGTTATCTTGGTTGAAATGACTATACAGCACATGAAGAAATACTCATGTGTTATCAAGTGAGAGTGGAAGATTCATGTAGCAATAAAAGTTGCAACGAAGGTATCAGATTCATGTAGCTTAGTTGCAGTGTCAACAGAGAAGTACACAAATATCATTCATGTAGTTTAGTTTATCAGCTTTGTGTATTGTCAGCAGTCCACAAATATTATCAGCTCCATCAGCAGATAAGATGCTAAATGTGACTATCATCTGATTCAAACCATGGATCCTGAGCCATTAAAGTCTCAGCAGCATTTTCCTGTTTATTCTCTTTTAATCTCTCTCTGATACTCTAAAAGTCCTGAATGAAAAATGTTACCTAAGTAAAACGTAGTCTAAAACATAGTCTTAATTTAAACATATTCATTTAAATGTGCTCAGTACAAAGATATGACCCATGTGAATATTACATTGTGTTTTACACTATTTTACTCTTGCTGGTTGGAGTGGATTTGGTTTATTTCATGTGGGATTCTAAATAATGTCTGCACCATTTCATATTCAAATAAGTTTCTCAACAAATCAGTTCGCTTGACTTCCTGGTTTTCTAAGTCATAATATCCATAATTCAAACTTCAAAAAAGGCGAAATAAGTTGTTAAAATATTTCAAAATAAAAGCATGAAATGGTCAGCATTTTTGTTTTGGCAGTTATCGAAAAAGATATCTTTTCTATCAACAATCAAATTCCATTTCAGCTTTAGTCTTGTATATATTATATTTCTTGTTAGACATGGTTCAATCTATAGCAAAACATGCAGTAAAACAGACAGTAACTGCCTTCAAAATGCAGAAATGGATTCTCTTCTTGAGTAAATGTGCTTTCCACCATGGTCATTATGCATGCAGTTCCTGTTAAAGGGCAGCTTATTATCTCATATCTAACAAAGAGTGAGTGTATCTGAAAGTCCTCATGAATGGCTACACACACAGTCACATCTTGGCGCTGTTTAAGACATTGGAGAAGACACAGACTGGCACTAAAAGAAAGAGTGTGTTAATGCTTTTGGACACTTTTCTTGTACTTACAGAAGAAATTGAACAGAATACATATTTCAAAAAGATAAATTCCCAAACGAACAACAGTACAAAGGGAGTGCTGCTGAAAAGAATCCACTTATGTGGGGATTTACAGACTTTTGTTTCTTTTGTGCACAAAATAATTCAAATCACATACAGACAGAATGTTAAACTGCATCTGACAACATGCTCCACAAAAAGCTGTCTAAGTCATCAGAGTAAAAAACAAAAAAGGCTGTTGTGTCAAATACAAATATCCTGTCACTTCAGTCTGATTTACTGCACATAGTGACAAATACAGCATCTCAAAGATGTCTCAGAGCACCATCCATGCATAAATATCAACTTTTCATTGTTCCAGTCTCTCATACAGCATGAGGTTGTTTTTAAAAAAAATTGTTTTATGATTTTACTCACATTTGAGGAGCTTTTGTTTGCATCCAGATTTACTGCCTGTGTGAAAAGTGCAAAATGCTGAAATGTAGTATTGAACCCGTTGGTATGTTTCTTTAAATTTTAATTCAATGATGGGAATAAAGAACATGAGCAGTACTAGTCCCCAATCATGGAAGGGATTAATAACAAAAAGGAAAAGGTAAAGATTATGACCAAACAATAGTGATAAAAAAAAAAATCCAGGCATATGAGGCAGGTTGGAGCAACTTAAAGTAGATCTTTAATTCAGTTGGAAGCAAGCATAAAACAATACTGACTTACAAGCTGATGTGCATGATTTAATTAGTTTATATGAGTCTCTGTTGTAGTCGTTCATTGTAATTTTTCTCTTAAATAATGTTTCGAAGATGAGAACACCAGAAACTCCCAACTCTGGAAACTACTCGTCTACTAATATTCTACTAAGTATTTATGTCGCCTCACTCAAATTCATCATTAAATTCAAAACAAACATTAATGGTTACTGGCTTCAACACAATCCTGTGGGACTCCTGCTTGTGTGTTTACTCACATTAATTAAGAGAAAAATTAGATGGTAAATTATGTAGCATAAATACTTTGCAAATCTGTAAACAATGATAGTTTTAAATTTCATAATAATGCAACAACGAAACAGTCTGTTATCTGGCTAGTTTCTCAGAGCCAAACTTGAAGTCTCTATGTTTATAGTCTTAGGACTAAGATAAGCCAGCAAGCTGCCGGCTGAATGCATCAGTAATTGGAACATTTAACCATGGATGCAAATGAAGGTATTTTACAAAATGTCAGACCTTTCTGTCAACATAATGTAAATAAAAATCAGTTTGTTTTGCACGTGTTGCACATGAGTGCAACATGCATATGTGTATAAGCTTAAATCTCCTGTTTGTGTGTGTGTGTCTATCTGTGTGTGTGTCTTAAGTAAAGTTGGAGTTGTGATAGGGAGGGCCTCCTCCTCCTCCGAGTAGCATGGAGCGCTCACATTTCCCATGAGCCTTTGAGGGAGGAGTGTTGGATGCTAACTTGGCTCTCGATGCAGCTCACTTCTGGCTTCAATTTATTCCTGGAGGCACACACACACACACACACACACACACACACACACACACACACACACACACACACACACACACACACACA